CTTATTTTTGTTCAAAAGAAGTTGATTGACTTTTTTTTTTTTTTTTTTTTGGATATTTTAGGTGAAAAATAATTTATGACCCCATATATGATTATTTTTAGAATTCTTCTTTATGCGCATTAAGGATCAGATCTTCGAACATTTTAATTATCTATTTCCATCAACGTAATTTTAATTTTTTTTTTCGAGTAACGTTCGTGTTTACTTTTCTCGTGAAAAAATAGTAGTATTGTATCTTATTTTATGATCTCTTTCTAATTTTTTTATTAGTATTCGCATACATTTTATATAAGAGATTTATTTATATTTAAATTAAGCTATTTTTAATACTTATTTTTCTTTTCATTGTAACTTTAACAATAAAATAAGCATGTAAGGGACAAGTTTATAATAAAAAAGATTAAATATGCTTAAGAAACTTTTATAGTAATAAATGTATAAAGGATACAGAATTCAAAAATTATCGATCCGATGTTAGCGATGAATCAATGATTAAAAAAAAATTGATTGATTTATCATAAGGTAGATATTATTATTTATAAAAGAAATAAATAGAATAAATAAACTAAAATAAAATGAAATTGAATTAAAGGCGAAAGATAAATTCTTTTGACATAAAAAAAAAAAAATTACTGCCAATACAGTTGGGATTGGGTTTATTATGTCAATAAAATTTACTTTTATATTGGATATATTGTTACTACAAAATCATATTTGGCATATTAAGTAAAAATTTCCTTGCCAAAAAGCAATAAAAATTTGTAAATTATGGAATTTAAAAATTTTTTTTATTCAGAATATACAATCTTTTATTCGAATTATGAAGAAATAAATATCTTTGTTTTGGAGAACTTAGTGGTCCAATCAAAATTGCCAATTTTGAATATCATTTTCGCTTTTTACAAATTAATTATAAAATTTATGACATTTTTTTAGACTTCTCTTAGAGTTAGTAATCTCTTAAATAGTAAGGACCGGTTAAGAACCGCTTAACATCCCTATGGAGAACAAACGAGTTTTGGAAATCGATGAGCAAGTTATTTGAAATTATCTTTCCTACTTTTTTACAATAATACTTCAGGATATAAAGTAGAATAATTGAAGTTATCATGAGACCATACATTATTATTATTGTGTATTGCCTTTATCGTCATTAATAAAATTGATAGTCAACCCTATTTACGTAAATGCCCATATCTTTGGTCCCGATTCAAACGTGTCTTCCAACGAGTTATTGATCGATAAATTCCATTAGGATTCTATGCACAAGCCACATTTATTTATTTATTTTTTTTTTTGCAACCCCCAAAATTGTTTTAATTTATTAAAATGAGAAATATCAACATTTTTTTTTAAAAGACAAATTTTTATTTTTGGATCTGATTATCAATCAAATTCGAATTTCAGTAAAAAGGTATGGCTTAAAAGTGCAACATTCGCTAAACCTTATTTAAAAATTCATTGTTCATTATTTAGCAATGCGCATGTAAATTATGTAAATTGCATAAATTTGCATCCAAGGCGTCATTATAGAGGTGGTTTTTTTTAAAAATTCTTTACCTGCATAGTTGACAAAAAACCTATTTCAAAGACAAAATCCATGGAAATTCATCTAAGTCGGCTTAGGTTTAGAAGGAATAAGATGATTTCCATGGAATTTGTTCGAATACATGCATATATATATATACTTACATGCCATGCGTTAAGATAAAACTCTAATTCTATAAAAAAAAAAAAAAAAGAGTTTTTAAAATTTTAAAATTTGATTATAGTTAATTTGAACCTTTTCGTAAAATTAATCCTTTATACCAACATCAAGAACGAGAAATGAGTTTAGCCAATACAAAAGCCACAAAATCAAGACCTCTTATCAATAACCCGATATTTCCTTGGTCTCAGATAAAATTATTGCCAAATGATAATAATTTTTTTCCAAGATATGGTCATTCTTCTTGTTCAAATGCGATTAAAAATGAATTATATTTCTTTGGTGGAATATCAAATGAAAAATTTAATAATGATGTATTCTTATTAAAAACTAGTATGTATTTGTGATTTTGAATTTATTATTATTAGCTCGAAATAAATATATAAAATATATATATATTATTTTTTTTTTTTTTTTATCGATGCCTATAATTTTTTTTCTAGAGACTTGTAATATTCAAGCTATCAAAACTACTGGTAACATCCCATCACCTCGTATTGGTCATACGCATGTACGAGTGGGATCAAATTTATTAGGTATGTAAAATTTAATAATTATCTTGGATTGTCATCGATTGGTTGATCAAACTTTTTTTTAACTCTTTTTTTTTTTTTAAAAAAAAAAAGTCTTTGGAGGAAAACTTGAAAACATTGAAGATAAACCAGATTACAATTTATATGTTCTAAATAAAGGTAAATTGTAATGAAATCGAAATAAAATTGTAACATAAGAAGAGATGCATTTTTTTTTTTTTTTTAACTGCATTCGATTTATAAATCAGAGACAAAAAAATGGACAAAACCATCTATAAAGGGTGTTACGCCTCTTGGAAGGTTTGGTCATACAGTCGTATTAATAGGTTCTATAATGTATATATTTGGAGGTTGTATAGACGATTATTATTTAAATGACTTGGTCGCATTTGACACAAAATATCGTAAGTTGTAAATATTGTTGCAAAATAAAAAGAAAATGGGTCCTTTCCCCACGAATACGATTAATTTTCTTTCTTTTTCTTATTGCTAGTTGATAATAACGAAGCTCATTGGGAATTTATTGATCCAGCAAATGAACCTCCACCTGGAAGGACAGGGCACATCTCTTGTGCATATAAAGGAAAAATTTACATGTAAAAAGTTTTTTCTTTCTTTCTTTCTTTTGGATAATTTATTCGTAATCTAAAATATTTTACGCGTTTAGATTTGGTGGAACAGATGGTGAAAAATGTTATAATGACACTTGGTGTTACGATATAAATACAAGGGAATGGACAGAGATAACTTGTAACAATGTTATTCCCGTTCCACGTGAAAGTCATGGGTCAGCTTTAGTTAACGATGTTTTATTTATTTTCGGTGGAAGAACAAAAGAAGGAAAAGAATTGTCTGATTTAGCAGCTTATGGAATTAATAGTATGTATTTTGTCCATTATTATTATTATTATTATTTATTATTTATTATAAAAAAAAATTATTTTAATTTCTTATTATTATTATTTTTTTTTTTTTTATAAAATAAGAAAGGAGGTGGTATATGTTTCAAAGAATGGGTCCTTCACCCACTCCTAGATATTGGTTAACCTTATCTTCTTCAAACCACAAGGTGATGATATTTGGAGGAGATTCCGCGAACCCGTCTAAGCCAGATAAAGAAGGACTTATTCACGTTTTGGATACTTGTAATTATAAAAAAAAAAAATAAATAAAAATTATTTTATTTATTTTCCAATTGATTTATTTATTTATTTTCCTCCTACAGCAAAGATAAAGTATCCAATCGGATCATACCCTCAAAATTCTTCACAATCTCAATCAGCTCCTTCCCGGTTACAAATAGTTTTATCTTCATTTCCTCAAAAGAAATCACTTCCAAAGTTACGATCGCAATCATCAAAAAAAGGAAAAGAAATTGTTAACGAAATTAATAATAATAAAAAAATCGAATTAAAAGCAAGAAATCCTGATATAAAGTCTTCGTCAAGACCATCATCGTCATCATCTTTTCGTAATATTAATGTTGCAACAACATCAACACGTGAACATTTAACGAGAACTGGTGGAATTAAACGTCAATTAAAAAATCCTTTAGAGAAGAGGTATGATGATAATAATAATAATTCTAGACCTTTGATAATTGATTCAAAAAAATTATCAGTTACGAATGAAAAATTAAAAATACAAAAGGCTTCGCCTCAAAAAGAAGTAAAAAATAATTATAAGAACACAGTGGACATTTCATCAAGAAAACAATCACAACGAACTAAATATTTTGAAAACAATAAAATTAACGAATCACCTAAGGGTGGGTTGAAAAGACAAAATAGTGATCGTTCCTCCATAAATCCAAGTCCTAAACCAAAAGGTGCAAGAATGTTAAGAGAGGAGAAAAATCAAATAAAATTAAGGAATTTCGAAAATCCCGAAACTTCTAGTATCAATTCCTCTAAAGATTCTTCAATCCCTATTAAGGGCGCGTCTTCAGTTAATTTAAAAGAAGAAATTCCCGACGATCCTTCACCGACAATTCAAATTACGTCGTCCAAAGACGTTTATTTCCAAGAAAGTAGCAAACCACCACCAGTTCGTCCACCAAGGCGTCGTTTATTTTCAGATCCGTCATCGGTTAACGTAAAACAGACGAAACGTGTTACGGTAACTTACAACGAAGAAGACGATTTGATAATAACAACCACCCCTTCCTCTTCAATAGCGAGTTCAGACGGTGATCATTATCCGACGACACGATTCTCTTCGTTGGAACGGGAAAATTTTTTAGAAAGATTATCGGAAGCAGATTTTAAAATATCCGAATTAAGAAAACGCGAAAAGTTATATCAAGCTGAAATCGATTTGGCGAGAAAAGGCGGGTTCATACCAACCTTCAGCTTTAATGAATCTAATAATGATCTGTTGGAAAATATGATTGATCTTAATGAATTTATTGACATTGGAGAACCAGGAACTGAAAAATTTAAAGTTATCGAAGCTATTATTAAATTAAGTCACCAATTACAAAAGGCCAAGGTTCAAAACAGATAACATTTTATTTTAATTTTTTTTTTTTTATCATTTCAAAAAAGGAATGAATGTTGATTTCTTCATGTATCACTTTTCTCTTCGTTTTATAGGAAGCTATTTCGAATCAAGAAAGGATCGCTTCACAAAAGGTTTTAGATTTTGAAAGATTATACGATGCGTCACTGGAAGAAACGTCATATTTTAAAACCAAATTCACCGCGTTGATAAACGAATACGAAACCGATAGATTAACGAAATCCGCGAATGAAGTTCAAGAAATAAAACAACAATTAAGCGAAAAAACACAGATATTAGAAAAGACAACCAAGGACGTTGAAGATGCAAAGGATAAGGTTGAATTTATACGAGGAGTTTTTTCAAACAAGATCAATCTTGAACCAAATGTTCAAGGAAATATGTCGGCCCGTTTTAGAGAGATTTCGGCTCGATGTGATGAATTAGAAGCTCTCCATGAGACGGCACATGAAGAGTTACGAGCTACTTTATCAAAATATAATGAAACCGTAAAAAAAACTCAAGGAACGTTATCCACAAGAAGCAAATCACCACTTAATTCATCAAAAGGATCGAAAGGGTTCGAAAAATCGCAACAACAACTTGTAGATATAAAAAATAGATTAAACCAGGTCGAATTTGATTATCAAATAGCCGTGGAATACACGACAAATACAGAACATATATTAAATATAATGAAAGATGAATTAATGCAAAATAATTTAGAAATGGAAAAATTAAATGAGAAATTAATTGACGTGGAAAGTCATAATGAAAAATTAGAAAATAGGCTCAGAGAATTACAAGACACGATGAATTCTCATTCCAACGTTAGAAATTCCATATTACAAGAATACGCAGATCAACAATTAGAAGAACAAAGGAAGGATTTTGAAAGGGAGAGAGAATCACTTTATCAACAAATTCAGGATTTACAATCCAAGATTAACCTTGCAAAAGAAGAGAAGAATCTAATGTATCAAGGTTATGAAGCTTTAAGGAGAGTTTATGAATCTTTGAGGAGACAGAATGATTCATTAAAAAAATCAAACGAAGCATTGAAGGAACAGTCTTTGGAATCCGAAAAGAAAGGTAGACAATTAATAAGTGAATTGCTTAAGAGGGGAACCGAACTGAAACGAGTAGAAGAGAATTTGAAGCCACCCTTGGAAGAAATTCAAGAGGAGATGGAGCAACATAGATGGGAACAAGAAAAGGAATCGTTGAAACGAGAAATTTCACAATATCAGCAAACAAAAGTAGGCCTTGAGAAAAATAATACCGAATTAAAACGAAATGTAGATGAAACGGAAGGTAAGATTGCAATATTGTTGGATCAAATGGAGAATGTTGTTGATTCGTATAGAGGAATTGAAGATAACATCAGAGAGGGTGGTAGTCCCGCTTTGATCGGACCTACGTTACGGAATCAAATCAGTTCAAGCTCACTTAAAAAAAGTTTTAGTTCTTCAAACTCAGATGCTGGTTCGTCATCACATAGCTTAGTTTAAAACGATGTATTTGTTAGATTTATTGTAAATTAAATGGTTACTACTCATACATAAACTATTTATATCCGTTCAATACAGGATAAAAAAAAAAAAAAACAAAAAAAAAATTTAAAATAAATTAATACAAATAAATGACCCATCATTTATCAACAACAACATCATCATCATCGTTTCCACTTTGAATATTTAGTTCAAGTATGCTAGCACTTTCACGTAACGATTCTTCTTTTGGCAAGTTACGTAAATGTAATGGATGTGAAGTCCTTTTCGATCTTCTTCCACTTTCGCTATCAACTTCACTCGCAGGGACAGAATTTAAAAGTTGTGAACTCAATCTTTTACTTATTCTTTTACTATTTAACGATTGAAAACTCTGAAGTGAATTGTTTCTGCTATGTACGCTTTGAATTATTGAAAAATATGTCGTGGAAGCAATGCTTGCATCTCCGACGCTTGAATCACGTCTATGATGAGTTTTTAGATGTTCCGTTGGAATTTCATCAGGAGTAAATTCTTCCACATTTCCGAATGGTAACGTATCACCATGTTCCCTTTCTAATTGATATCCTGTTATATAAGGGGTGAATGGAGTTGACGGGAATTGGTCGTCATCGTTGTTGGTCGCTTGACTTGACAATTGCATTTCAGGAACTGGTTTCTTTGATGATGATTTTGGTGATTTCTCGGAAAGATGGATGTACGTTGTTGTTTGGATACCATGCGATTTCATCGACGTTGGTCTTTTCAAGCTTAATTTTTTACTAAATGGGGCGGCATTCCGAGTTGGTTTGACGGCACTGGAAATTAAAATCATGATGAATACCTGATTCAAATTATAATATGAAAAAGATGAAGGTTATAAAGTAGAAGCTTACTTGAAGACGATGATAAACTGTGCTATTTGAAGACAAATAGGTTCGACGAAATTCAAAATAAAAAAATAAATCACATTGGTGGTGGGGTCATGGGTTATTGATTTGTAGGAGAGTCCAAATATAAAGTAAACCAGTATAAATGTAAATCCGAGGAAGGCGAAGACCATCACAACGGTCGATAAATTTATCGCGGCAACTTTCAACGATTCATATTTCAATTGTAACGTAAGGTCGTCCCTTGGTCTATTCTGTAACTCTCTCATGTGATATTTTAACAATGAAAATAATTTGTGCCAAAAGTACAATAATGATGATAAATATGTCGTTAACCAGAAAACCCAAATTAAATATTTCGTTGTAAATAGTTTAATCGACACGGTTGGGATTTCTTCAAGGTCGGCGTAATATCCGATCATGTATGATATTGAAGTGTTAACGATATATGGACCAATTATTAAGAGGAATGCTCCGATATCAATTAGGACCTTGTTCGGTATGAATCGTTCCGAGTAATGCATGGTCGTTGGTTCCAAGGTAGGTATCGAATAAACTAATGAGACGTATCACGTGTTAATTCCATACTTGTCACGTGCTCAACAACGATGAGGAGATTAAAAAGCAATCTTAACTGATTCCGACAAGGTATAATACCGAGAACGCAAACGATGTTTGTCGAGGTAAGTCATCCAAAACTGGAGGTTCATTCAAAGAAAGTTAATTAGCATTCGCCGGGTATTCATACATATACGTAGCTTACTACTTACTCTCGGCCCATCTTGAATTTGGATATGCGTTGTTTATTAAGAGAAGAAGTCGAACAATATGTAATAGACAGAAAGAGACCGTTACTAAGTGAAATGTATCATGGGGTCTCGGACGTATTATGCCTGCAATTATTCAACGTTTTTTAAACACATTAAACATTTTTATCTAGATCCCGGGAATACATGATAGATCATATGAAATTTACCTCTATCTCTTGAAGGGGGGAATAATAAAGATTGTTTTTTACAATATATCCTATACCACAAAAACCATATAGAAGTTGCCGCAATAAACGAAGTGTAAGGAATTAAAATCCAACTTCCCGTTCTTAATAAATGCGATTCGGTACATTCAATTTCGTTTATTCGAAAATCGCACACACACATTAAATGTGCTTTTTCATCTTGATGTGATTCAACACATGCTAAACTAAAATTATTTATCAGTTGAACCATTTATGCAACCGATGGTTTTTTTTTTTAAAAAAAAAAAAAAAAAAAAAAATTTAGCAGTAAATATAATTAATTTCTAGATATTTTTGAAGATATTATCATGTGTAATGCAATAGATAAATGCTATGTTAGCTTGATTGAAATAAGGTTATCTAATAAGGGTCTGGAGAGAATCGTAGATTTTGATAAAAGGAATGTTTCATTAAAAAAAAAAAAATTATTTATATATAATATTTATAAAAATGATAATGAATGAAGGGAAATTTTAGAAAGGTGAAAGTCGCTTGTATCTAACATTATTATTATTTTTTTCTTTTTTTTTGTGTAGAAATAAATTTTCGAATATTTTGTTTATATCTTTCGATTGTTTTTTTTTTTGTTGGTAGGACTACATGTAACCTGTCAAAGCCACGAAATATTTACACGATACAAAAAAAAAAAAAAGAAAAAGAAAGAAGGTTTATTATAAATATAGTAATACGGAATGAAATTGTGGACTTGTTTTTTTCATGTAATTCGACAATTAAATAATTTGTGTACATATAGTATAACTTTCATTATGTTGTGATGATATTTTACTTTGATACAAAGATACAAAAGAAAATTTGTGGAATTATGTATTCCGCCTTTTAATGACATTGGTTAAATCGTATGCCGATGATGTCACGTGCCTTCATTGTTTAAATATTTGTGCCTCGTCTTTCTACGGGCAACACGAGAAATCTGTGACTAACCAATCATAACTTATCGTAAATTCTACCATCAAAAGATTGGTCTTTTAGGGAAATATTGAGGGTCTATTATTATAATGCGCTATGTAAACATGAAAGACCGAAATTCTTGTGCTGCAAACCAGTGAAATTCATGAATGAAATATTTTTCTAAAAATAAGGAAAATATGCATACTTATTTTACAATGAATAATCTGTAATATGTCCTAAAATAAACAAACGCAAATGGATTTTCGTGATGTTTCAAGAGATTGACGTACGACAAATTTATTAGGATTATATATCAAATAAAATTGTGTATATTTTTTTAATTAGGAACTTTAGTTCATATTTTTATGAACCTTGTTGAACATCATGGAACCGTAGTCGATTTTAACCTTGGGTCGTTTATTAAAATTCGATCCATGTGTCGGGAAGGAAAAAAAAAAAATAATAAGAGTAATCATCACGTTTAGCTTTAGTATTAATCGATATATATATAATTCAACCTGTAAATAGGGAAAAGCAAAAGATCCACCATGCATGATTTTGTAATTGAATTGCTCCAGTATATATATGGATTTTCTCATTATGGATAGCGTTTCGTATTAACATTTTAACCCAAATATATACGTTACTTAAATTTATTTTGACGTCAATTACATTCGCGGACTAAAAGATTTAATTAAAATTTTTATTAATTTTCGAGGAGGCTATCCCTATTATGATGTTGGTAAACTATGAAGAAATGGTTTTTTAAAACGTATGATCGAATCTTACTGCGGAATGTATTACGTAACATCAATCCAACTTTAAACTAGTTTAGGTCATGACCGATTATGACGAAATTGAGATTTTCTTAAAATCAACATTCCTTTTATCACAACTGAACTTATTTATCACTGCTTTTAAATCCCACTTACCCGTTTAAGAAATCATCAGCCACGTAATTAATTAGATCAACAAACCATCATTAAATAATAATTTTAAAAAGAATGTACCGCGTCAGAACATTATATTTTCGATCCTTTAATGATTTAACATTTTAAGATCAATTGACGCCTTTTTAAATGATTTCTATATAAAGGGATAATGAATGCTATTTTAAGAATTCGTGTCATATCATCACGTGAATTTTAACTGTTTGACCATGTTCGGATAGCTTCATGGCCAGGTTCTCGGCCATTATCGTGAAGGTTCGGGAAAAGCATGGAAAGTTGTATGATGATACCGGGAAATTTCCAGCATTCTCCAATAACTTTAAAAATTCGTCCATTTTATATCACTTGCATAATCTGAGAACGCCAATATGACAAAGGATCTGATTAAATCGAGTAAATCTGCGAGATATCTTTTTACTTTCAATTTAATTACACAAAGTAATACAATTTAAATAGTTTTTGCATATTATTTTCCATGTAAGATCATCAAAAAATATTAAGGGAATCCGGGTGTTCTTAAGCAAAGACCCATGTAGATCAACATAACAGACACCATGGAATCCAAGTACGGACGTGTTTGTTATTGTGAATATTCATTTTAGTCGGGTATTGATCATATTTATATTGTCTACGATTCTCTTTTTGGAAGCGCCCTCTAATCAAACCTTAATTCACCCCTTTTAAAATGAGCTTTATCCATCAATACGTTGCACGATATCCTTCCTCATCATCGTGCACAACATTTGATTATTATACAAATGCTAACATTATTTATGTAAATTTCGTTAACATGGCTGTGACATATATTCAGATCAGATCACGGTTTCTTTTCTGTCGTACAAAAATGACATAAGGTGCTACCCAAATAAATCTTTTGCTGCGTAACTTGTGATTGGATTGACGTTTAGTTTAATAAGTGAATGAACATTTAAACCATACGATGACGTTGTTATTATTAATCACGTGCATTTTCTCGTTCCTTAAAAATTATATAAACCGCTGAACTTGGGACGTTCTCCAGAAAAAAAAAAAAAAAAAAAAAAAAAAAATAAGCTCTCTTGCAAAAGAAATTAATTTTCCTCCATCGGCTAATCAAACGATGCTATGCTATAATAATCGTTACAGAGCATGGTTCATTTTGTATTTCTAAAAAGATAAAAATGAGAACTACGAGTGTCATCTCTTTAAGTCCCATTACGAACACCAGATTAACCTTACATTTGTTAAATGAAAAAAATAATCTTTCAAAAGTACCAAATGAAATCTTGTATGTTATCATGAATATGCTAAATGTAAATGACCTACAACACCTTTCCTGGACTTGTCGATTCATGTGTCACGTTGCGCGCAAATATCACTTTGGAATAGTCTCTCCCGTGTGGGAACCGGCAGCAATCTCTAATTTCCACAAATTTCCGATCTCTTATTTTAGGGATGGCGTGTGGTTTAATAACGTTTTTTATTTACCGATCTTCCATAAGGAATCTTCAACTTGTTGGATGCTTGATTTAACCGCGAGACCGATCAAATGGGAGCAAAAACCTTTAAAATTCAAATTTACTTCCAATCGTAAATATGAACCAACACGACATTACGCTTCCGCCGCGATCAAAAATTTAATTTACATCTTTGGTGGTGAAAATATTTATAACGGTGTGACTACAAACGTATTTTATGAGTTGAACGTTTATACATTTGAATTACAGATTTTAAATGAAAATGATGAAAATATTCCGAGACCCCGAATGATGCATACACTTGACGCTATAGGTAACCATCGTTTGGCGATGTTTGGCGGACGAAGTTCGATTTTTAACGACGGTAAGTATTTTTTTTTTTTGCTTAGATAAATAAATGAATGAATGGATTTAAAAACATGCATATATCTCCACATTAATCATCATTGCAAAAAAAAAAAAAAATCGATTAATAGATAAAAAATTCGAATTTGATAGCAAAGACTTTGCGATTTATAATACAAGGACAAAGAATTGGACTTTTTATAATAATGAGACTCCAAACATCCCATATCGACGTTCATTACATAGTTCTTTCGTGATGAATGAAAAACTTTATATATATGGTGGACAACAATCTAAATCCTTCTCGAATTCTTCACAAGTTCACGATGACGAAGACGTTTCAGTTTTCGATTTCAATCAAGATAAATGGTATAAATTGTTATCTCCTCCTGATGAGGGGAAATCCTTACCCATGTTTCTCCCATCTGATTGGATAATGACATCATCCGTTAATCAGAAATCGATACCAGGTAAAAGAATGCGTGTCGCAATGTTTACGTTGCATAATCGAATCGCGATACTCGGAGGTTCCAAGGAAATAAATTGGAACAACGAAGAAGAAAGTCGTCCATGGGAATTAATGTGTTTTCTATCTAATGCTAAACATACTTGGGAACATATACGAATAAGAAATTTACCACAGATAGAAATTTTAACGTTTTATTGGGAAGGTTGGAATATTCTTGACGGAGTGTTTCTTATCGGAAGAGATACAAACGAAGGAAAACTCATTATGGGTTGGGTTAAAGATTCGACAAATTTTCTCTAAGCATATATTACCATTATATATTTTTATTTATGAATTTTACATATTAAGGTTTATAAGCTTTCGTTGATAATATTAAAGTCAATTACATCATTAAATGTGAATACCATTAAAAAAAAAAAAAATAAATAAAAATGAATAAATAAACCACGTTCTCCTAAATATGGATCAATCCGTTAGTTTAAAATAACGTTAAAAAATTTTCTTGCGTACTCAATCTCTTCTAATCTAGGTTTAAATTCATAATCATTATAATTTACCAAGGATAATCTTAATCTTTTTAATCCTGAATTCTTTTTTTCGTAATCTATTAGCAAATTTATAAAGTTCGAATCTTCATTTTGCATGTGTGTTTTGCATAATTCTAATGTGGTAAGTTTTGCCTGACATTTTTCCAGGATTATTTTCAAAGGTTCGATGGAAATATTACTTTGCAGTGAGAGGTGAAGTAATGATGACGGAATGGATGTTGAAAATTGCGTGATGTAATCATCTTTGAGCCATTCGAATTCAATCTTCTTTCCTCTCTTTAATTCTAAGTACTTTAAGGAGTTCAAGGAAGAAAGTAGCTTTAAGAAAGATCTTTGAAGAGGGGAATTCGTTTCAATGCACAATTCTTGTATGTTTGGACAATGTTCTATAATGTCTTGAAGAACTTTTTGAATGAACCCATTTAATACAAGTCTTTGTAAATTGTTACTTATCATTGAAAGTAGAATAGGTAAGTATTCGAATGAGGATAATTTTGGGATTATTAAATGTAAATTTTTGATGGAAAGTTGATGCGTCGTAAACTGGGAAGGGATATGAGTAAAAGACATGGAATGAAGATGTAAAGTTTCTAAACTATTTAAAGATATTAAAGTTTGAAGGAATGAAACATCAAAAGGAAAGTTTGATGATAACTTAAGTTCCTTTAAAGTTGAGGCTTGACTCGTTAAAGAAGAGAAAATCTTTAGAGAGTGATGAAAGTTCGTCGTCTCAAAGCTGATCAAATTATTTTGTCTTAATAATAGTTGTGATATAGTTTCATCAATTTGTGAAATAGTGTGGCGATCATCCCACAACAATATATTTATACGAAGGTGTTTGATGTTTGTTGCGCAACGTGACATCATTTCAATCAATTTGGAAACGGCTTTATCATCTTGATTCGAATGTCGATAATCTTGTTCATCTCGATATGTTAAATTGAACATTTCAAGCTTAAATAAGGAATCATGATCCTTTCCAAGTAAAGAATTCTCCATGGAACTTAAGGGAGAATATTTATTTCCAATACAAACGATGCCCAAATCAATTAATCTATCGCTGCGTGTAAAGATTAATTTAAGTATTTCATTTGTTACGTTTTGAGTTAATTCCTTCGAAGTGAGCCATTTATTAATCGCCAATCCAAATTTTTTTGAATTAAATTTTTTCAAATATTTTGGATAATTAAAAAATGGCCTAGGATCAGGTAAAGTTACCTCTTGGTCCAATAAACATTTTTTATCAACATCTGATAAGCAAGAGAAGTAAGTTTTAATAATCTTTATATGTCGGTCTTCGGATGATAATTCAAAAGGTTGACTCCATAATAGAGGAGTAACGAGACGACACCAAAGTCGGTTAACTAGAACGCAAGAATAAAGAGATGATCCGTCATCTTTAAGATGGGTGAAAATATCTAACAAACAGTCGGGTGGTAATTGACGCTTTAATAAACTCATTTTAAATAAATTACGGGGGGGGGGGGGGGGGGGGAAAAAGAATTTTGGGCG